ACTTACTGGGATGGAAGGTGTGTGTTTAACAGGTTAAATAAACTATCAACAAGAATGAAAGTCATCTAGAATACGAGTGGTAGGAAATAAACGAGGGCTTTCTTCAACATTCAATCGACATAAATATCACCGAGCAATTGAGATGAGCGTGCCTCCAGTGAGGTGGCGAGAGTTCCTATCGTTTTCCCGAAAGATTTGAGCAGGTTTAAATTCGACGAGAGTGTAGGAGCTGACATTTAACTAGTCACCAGTTCTTGACCACTCCGAGTTGTTACTGAACCAAACAAAACAATGACTTCGTCCATATAGTTTTGAAGACAAGTTAGGTTGATTGCGGTAGCATGAGATTCTCGTTGAGTGGCCGAATTGGATAGAAAGTGTTGGTGAAAGTTGTATAGCATGTAACTTCATCTACACATCGCACTGTGTATTAAAGTTTCTTTATTTCTTTATTTCCTGTAGGACGAACTGCTGAAGCTAGTCGAGAAAGAGCACAAAACGATTGACGAAGCTACTGCTGAAGCGGAGGAATCTCAAAATACCGGTGATTGTGGTTTTACCGGCTTGTAGCTGTAGTTCGTTCTTGGAGAAAAGATTTCTAAATAGGTGCAAAATTTGAAGAGGCTACTCGTAGATAACATGAATGAAACAATACTTTAATCTTGTAACCTGCGTATTGGTTTCGGACCATTCTTTTTCCTGTGTGGTGACTGAGTAAAGTAGTTGTCATCGAACTTAGTTAAAGTAAAGGGTGTGATAGATTCGCGCCTTACATTCATTATGCTTTTTCACCAAAAAGGTTTGTCCCCTTCCTGATCCACTACTAAGAGGATATTTGCCTCTTATTCTGTTCAATTTTTCCTGATTGAAAATGGTAATACGGATGCACTGGTAGTGCGGATATTAAAAGCTGCGATATTTCGATAATCAGATAGCAGCAGTTTTAAATGTTGATCTCAGTTGTGCATAACAAGAATGTTATGTTTTGCTCTGCTAAAGTAATTTTCTTTTGTCCCAGGTGAAAAAACAGAAGTTGACAAGTCCACTGACAAAGACAGCGACGCAAAAAAGCCAGAAAAGGACTCGGCCAACCTTTAGAAAAGTTTCAAAATTCCAAGGCTGCGAGTTATGGTGCATGAATATTAAGGGAGGGCAGTGTAGTTGTTCCGAGTACAAATGATGTTTCATGATACTTAGCGGAAAACTTAGATTTATGCGTTGAATAATAGTATTGCTTTAAATCAACGAGTATAGTAACCTGCGATCAGGCTTTAAAAAAAGAACGCGGCTTCCCAATATGGTAGTCAAGTTAAAAAAAAAATGCTGGAGCCAAACTATGACAGGCCGCTGCCTATAATCAGCGGACAGCACTGCATAACGGCCAGGAGTTTTCGTCTGGTCCGTGCACCATTCCGTTGTTTGCCATTTGCAAATAATTTCCAGAAGTTTGGGTTGGGAAATTCCGTTGCGGAGCAATGTGTTAGATTTAAAGTTTCCCTGAAGATGTGGTTAAGGCGTGAAGCCGCGAAAACCGAAACACCTGGAACTATCTTATTACATGAAATTTTCGCGACACGTTAATTTCGCGATGTAAAAAAGGCGCGAAATTAAAGTGACGCGAACAAACAGTGTCGCTAACATAACATGACGCGAAAGTTAAGCGACTCACATAATCAAGTACAGATGAAATTTAATACTGAATTAAATTTACAACAACAACTAAAAACTATTTGATTAAGGAAAGGCTATGTCCAAGACACTCGATATGCGAGGACAAATAATTTGCCGTGTAGTGTAAGCGCTATTTTACAATTTTTGTGGTAATAATCACTGTTTTGGTGATAGGCAAACTATTTTTATCGCACTAACAATTTTTTGTTTACACTATATGTTTGTGGCGTATCTGCAGAGTCGCCAATTAGATCAATACAATATGCGTCAGTGTACTGACCACTAAATTTTATTGACTGACAATTTGTTTTATTAAAATTATAATGTTGAAGAAATTGAATCAAAGTGTGTGCACTGTTAAATTAATGATACCTACCCTCTAGGTACAGAAGGTACTATCAGCGGTCTTCGTACCTAGCCTGCAAGCAGGCGAGAGGAGCCGGCGCGCTTCGCGCGCACGTCGTTCTTGAACTCGCTCGCGTACCAAAGCAAAAAGTCAGAAACCCGAGTGCGTGCTTACAGGCTACCTCGTACCCAAAAGTCCACGCTTCCGTCCACGCTACCCTTGACAAACTATCGTAAAAATCGTTGCCTACTCCGCTGGGTAAGAGTAACGCAGTCTCTGGCTACGAGGAAGCCAGATTGAAGTACCATCGCAAACAATAGGGACTTGATAACTCATTTTCTAAACGAGAGCAATTTCGATGTTTAGGAATGTCTTTTCCATTGAGGCCGCTGTGATATTATGAATGTTTTTTTCATTTATCGTTATACAAGCGCTGAATGTCGCATCATTTTTCCCAAGTGGGTCTCCCGACTCTTCATCAGTCGAGAACTGAGCGAAACGAGCCGCAATTCATTCCATGCCCAAGCACTTGAAACTGTTGTTACTATTTATCGGAAATTGAAGCCCATAAAAGCTGTTTTACTATTGAGGATATTGTCTTTGATTAATCAAACGTTACGTCTTCCTGTTTAACAAACGATGGGGTTGGTTCCGTTTTGAAATGTCGAGCATCAAGAACGTCCTGGGGCGAGCGTGATACCGTAGACCACGAGACAGGTTTTTGAGGTTGAGTCACCTGCAGCGGGTTATTGGTAACCAGGGACTGAGAAAGGCAGAAAAGCATGTTTAAACAATCCACCAACCTGAACAGACCAGTGAAAAAATGCTTGCAGTGATTGCTCACTGTAACAAATTTGCTTAATGTTGAAGGGTTACTGTATACTAGAAATCATATTATAAGCCGGCGCGGTGCTTGTTTTATATAATCACCTCTCGGCGCCCAATAACAGCAGCGTGAAACAGCTCCTATGGAGTCCTAATGATGGCTATGGTAAGGTTGACATTTTTTAACTTGAGATAATTGTTTCAATTCAATAGAGGACGACCCTAGAAAACATGCTCGCCAAGACGGATTTTCAATCAAAAACTGCTGTTTCGAGACGAGAGTATTCCAATTTTCTTCACTTTCCCAGTTCGCTAATTTTCAAGAATTGTGCCAAAAAGGAAGAAGTTTACCTGGTCATTTCGACTTGTTTCCGTTTGCAAACGGTTTCCCAAAACCTCCTAAAATCAATTTGATCAAAATCGCACGAACTTCGACTGTAGTTTCGCTCTAGACAATAAGTAAAAATTAGAGTCTTTTTGCGGTAAATTCGGTTCGGCTGCAAAGCTTCATTGTTTGTTACTAATAGCTTCCTACACTGCAACAACAGTATACTGAATTATTTTGCTTGAACAACTTGCGTGTAAAATGTTCTCATGTTAACTTTCACTTCAGCTTTATCTGTAATGATCCAGATTTGTTCACTTCATTTCATGTATATGCAATTTGTAACAAGACCTTGCAATTTCAAAACTGTTGTGAAAAAACTAGCACATGTTTTGTTTTAGCAACCTTCGCATTAAGCCGGATTAGGATTTGAGAATCACAAATTATAGATTTAACGCCTTCCGGTGGTGTCAACAACGTAACACTTTCTACCTTTAGGTAAACGTTAAGAAAAGAGAACAAATTATAAAGCGCGCGCTTGGGAATGTGGCACTATTGTTACGAAACTGCTTTTGTATTTCAGGTGCACCAAGATTGACTCCGTTGGACAAAAATTTGTTTTGTCTAAAAATATTGCAACGTATTAGCAAAACCACTTCAACTGTGCTTCTAGTATGAACGTAAGAAGATGGAGGTGAGAAACTAGAGTTTATAGCTTTTATATTTGTATTGTACAGAATTGTTTCAACAGTTTCACAATATAGAAACCTAAAGCCGACTATCAGCCAAATCAAGACTTATTTTGTTTTTATGACAAAAATTTCGCCATGATAGTCACTGCCAAAGTAAATTAATGTTAGCAATACTTCAATTTGTTGGTCTTCACCAACGCGGACATACAAAATTACATAAGGACGCCAGAGCAAATGAGGAGATCGGATTGCAGGTAGTACGTGCCATTGGAGAAAACACGGCAAAGGAATATGCATAAAATTGAGATGTATAGCATGGTAAGGTGCTCATTTGAAAGAAAAAAAAATTCTGTGCTGAAGTTAAGTGACTTGTATTACTCAGAACAAAAATAGCAATTAAACAACGGTATGGTTTTTGAAGTTGGAAGTTTTAGAGGATTTTGTGGGCAAATTTTGTCAAATCCTTTTTGGCTTCTGTTGTTGTTGTTTTTGTACAGAGACAATCACTATGTAAAATCTGATCACTCACACCCCTACAATCAGTTCAATAACACAACTGAGTCCAAAACTGTTTCTTTCGAATCAGTTGGCATTTTTTAGTTGTTTCACCTGTTGTTCCTACTGTTAAGATATAAAAAATAAATAAATAAATAAATAACTTAATGAAGCAATGTTGTGCTAATTGAGAACACTGTTAATAGACTAATTACACAAATACTGTAAATACAACATAAATTATTAAGAATCCCAACTACTGAAAGGTTGACCAGTTGACTATTTACACAATGCGGTCGCAGAGTTGAACTCGGGGCTACCGAGAAATCAGTTCATTTAGCGGTAGGGTGGACGATTTGAACCAGGGACATCCAGATTTCAAATACAGCTTCCTAAACCACGCCTTGACCACGCCATCCCTGGCTGAAAACACCATTAAACGTCCAGATGAGAATTCCATAAACACAGGCAAAGATTCTGAAACTCACAATCAACTCTTTATTCACACTGCTTTCTTTGCTCTGATTAACTCCCTTGCAGTCTAACAGACTAGACGGCGACATCGGAGCCGAGCAATCTGCTTCCACGTCAGACTGTCCAATTAGAGACCGTCAAGAATCTTTCCATCAGAAAAGTGGAACAGAGTTTGTTGATAATGTGCAGTTACATTGTAAGAGTATTACGGAAAGAATGCGACTTATAAAACAGTCTGTTGATGGTATTGGTGAAGGTAAAGATTCGCTGGATTCAAGTGATCACAATCAAGGCTCTACTCTTGAATCAACAAGTGATGAACATGCCGCGGAGAAGTTTTCGGAGTTGGATCCGCAAGAACAAGGTCAAAAGATAAAGGAGCGAGTTGAACGGATAGTGAAACTCGTACAATCTACTGCACAAAAAGTAAGTTGGTGAATATGGTCAGGTAGACTTTGAATTTATTCGTTTTCTACATGCGAGCCAAGTGGGCCATCAGGCCGGCGCTTATATCTTCGGTTTCGGTGGCACGAAGCGACTAGGAGCATTTCTACTCTCCCCTGGATGGGATGCTAATCCATCGCAGGGTTACCCCCAGCATTAAATTCGCTGATACCCCTTTATACACGAGGGACGAGAGAGGCCCTGTGATCCGGAGAGTACCGTGTCTTGCCCGAGAACACAACACAATAGGGAGCTTAAGAAACCACGACGGCGACGCCAAGGACAACGCCGATGAAGAATTGAGTTTATGTTTTACCTACTACTCTCGCGGTACCCAAGTCATTTACTTTGTCTATCACTAGCAAAGCTATCCGAAACTGAATCTAGGACACATCGATAAATTCGAAATATAAATTTAGAAAATTAGCCGTCGTGGTTCACGTTCTCCAGACAACGCAGAATTTGGCCATTTCACGTTGTTGTTTTGCAGAGGACGGCAAAGAAATGTATCAGGAATTATAACGGCACGTGCACAGCCATTCTTCTCATTAAAACTTTTGTTTAGCGACGTTGCCGTTGCTGTCGTGGTTTTCTCATTATTGCTGAAGCTCTCTAACGTCCCCGGCTACGGCTCGAACCCGGACCGCTTGATCCGGAGACGAACGCACTAACCATGTTTATACGTTGATTGTACGTCTACTGCTTAATTCTGAGCATTGTAAGCATTGAGTCGTAAACTAAGGAAAACTCAAAAGAACAACCATGACAACGGTTTTTCAAGCCTGAAAAATCATGTAAACGATAATGAGTTAATAAGGAAGAGAAACGTTTTACTGCATAAAGCCCCAAATTTATATTCTGTATCTATAGTTAGCCCGGTAGGTTTTACTGATCAGAGACCTTAGTGAATACAGAAGAATGTGTTTGTTTGACTTTAAAGCCATTTGTGAACAAACAAATGTCTAAAAAACGTATTTCTCAAAGTCATATACGATGACAAAGTAATGAGGGCCAAAAGACAGTTCTCACCTGCAAAGGGCTAAATTCAGTTACCAGAAGAATTTCTCTCCTGTGCTGTTTATCCAATCAGAAGCATGAATTTCAAATTACATTTCAGTCAAACAAGACACGAAAACGCGCGATTGCAAATAAATCATAACCAGTTCTAACTTTCCATTGCGGATAAACCTTTCACGGAAGTGTACCTTCAATACATGATTGGGTTCTTGTTGTGCCTGTGTGATGCCATAACAACGTACACATTTTGGGATTTTTTTATCTATACCTTAGGCAGAATTTGCAAACGTTTTACCTGTGACTCTTGAGAAACCGCTTAACCAAGCTTCCGTGGACAACAAGAACGAACTATGCCAAAACACATCGCCTGTTGTAGAAGAGAAGACATTACAATGGAATGACAAGAATGCGGAACTAGCCGCCGCAGATGGTGAAAATATAACGGGGCATCCAGTTAAACAGGTTGTTTTCAAAGTAAATGGAGGCCATGAAGCCATGAAGAAATTACCAGGCTCTAGCCAGAGGGACAGAGTTTTTACGAAGTCTGCAAAAGAAGACCAAGAACTCGTAGGAGCGAAATCGAGTGAACGTAACGCACTGGTGATTGAAAATGACTCTGATTGTTGCTCGTTTACAAAACGCTCCAATGAAGATAAAAAGCTGCAGACACAGAAACCCATCGCAGAGAGCTTGATTGACAAACATATAGCCAATGAAAAACT